CCTGATTGTCCCCACAGATGAAGAAGAAGCAGCAGCTGACCTGTAACACCTGCTGCTCCGAGTCTCCACACTGAAACCTTTGACTCCTCCCAGCAGGACCTCTCCACACCTGGGAGGAATCTGTCAGCGTTTTGAGATTAAGTCTGAAGTGTTTGAGGGGAGCTGATGTGAGAACGCAGCAGGAGAATACACCTGGAACATCAGGTGCAAAGATCAGAGTCCAGAGCCTCTCCTGCTTCGTTTAAAGACACAGAGATCAATGCATTTTAAACTGTTCAGTGTACGACCTTGACCTCTGACCCCTCTGAGCAGACGGCATGTGACCATTTTATCTGCTCGCCTTAGAGAAGCCAGTTCTGCAGAACGCAGGGGGCTACTTCACTTTCAGGGAGAGAAATTCAAACTCCTCCTGCCTCTCTACTTTGTTATGAAACATCAAAACGATAAACTGCACGGTCGTGTGTTTTTCCGTCTCACCTTTGAAGCAGAACACGCCGTGTTTGTCCGTTTTGTCCGGGTAGCCGGTCTGGTTCTTGTGCTTGTAGAGCGTGCGGACCCCCAGCAGGCCTCCTCCACACTGAGGCTTCGGGACGGTGATGGGGTAGCGGGCGCTGCCGTCGGAGAGCCAGCCGTAGTCGCAGCGGCTAAGCCCCGCCCTCCAGGCCGCGTACAGCTGACCGGGCGCCGCCAACACGGCGTTGTGCTTTGACACTCCGCGGACGCCTGCTGGAAGACGACCTTCTCTCTGAGGTCGGCGTAGAAGACCTCACCTGCACGCAGAGAAGACGAGATTACAGGTTTGTAGAAGAAGAAATATTAACTACATGTCAGGGTTTCATCATTCAGCTTTAAACTACATTTCCCATGAGCCTCTATCACCGCTGCTTTGGAGAAATAACCCTCAGGAACACGTCAACCAGCGACCTTCAAGCTGCTCGTAGTCGTGTTTCTGAGCTGGAGACAGAGGTAAGCTAGCTGTTAGCCCCTGTTTCCAGTCTTTATGCTAAGCTAGGCTAACTCTGTGCTCTACACACTGACTTGTTAAGCTAGTTGTGCTCACCTCGTAGTTTGTCCACGTAGCAGTACACATCGTATTGTTCCGTGGGGTCACGGACGCCGTACGTTCTCACGCCCGCTCTGCTCTCCAGATTACCCAAACAGCCGAGACGGGGCACCGTGATTGGTATCTGAAAACAAACAAACAAACAAACAAACAAACAAAACAAACAACAAACAAACAAACACTGAGTTCAAAAACACAACAACAGAAACTTTCTGACAGTCGTCCTGAATCCTCGTGAAGCTCACCTGACTGACTGGTCGGCGAGCCAGCCTGCGTCACATTGGTCCAGGCCGTCCTCGAAAGCGGCCGTCAGCTGTTCGCGGTTCAGCGATGTCGGCACGGCGTCGTGACACGCCCTCACGGCGGCGGGAAAGTCGAGAGTGTAGCGGCTGGTGCTGGCTCTGTAGTGAAACACCACGCCTGAAGACGGAACGAGAAAGAAGGTCAGAGTCAAAACTGATGAGTCATCAAAACATTCCCCCCGTACAGTGTGTGTCCATCCAGACATGAGCTAATCACACCTATTTGGTTTTTTGAACCAGGCTGTAAACATGTTCATCTCTGCTGTAAAAACAGGCTTTTTAGAATGGGTGTGTATGTGATTCCTGTGCTTCTGCATCCAGCCTCTAGTGGACACTCCAGGACTGCAGATGTTACACTTCAGTATCGGCTTCATGTTTCAACACCGGAGGTTACAGCTTGATCCTTGATCTCTGTCTCTCTGTTCTCTGTCTCTCTCTGTCTCTGTCTCCCTGTCTTCTCTCTCTGTCGTCTCTCTCTCTCTCTCTCTCTCTCCCTGTCTCTCTCTCTCTGCCTCTCTCTGTCTCTCTCTCTCTCTCTGTCTCTCTCTCTCTCTCTGTCTCTCTCTCTCTCTCTGTCTCTCTCTCTCTCTGACTCTCTGTCTCTCTCTTTCTGTCTCTCTCTGTCTCTCTCTCTCTCTCTCTCTCTCTCTCCCTGTCTCTCTCTCTGTCTCTCTCTCTGTCTCTCTCTCTCTCTCTGTCTCTCTGTCTCTCTCTCTCTGTCTCTCTCTCTCTCTCTGTCTCTCTCTCCTGTCTCTCTCTCTCTGTCTCTCTCTCTGTCCTCTCTCTCTCTGTCCTCTCTCTCTCTCTCTGTCTCTCTCTCTCTCTCTGTCTTCTCTTCTCTGTCTCTCTCTCTCTCTCTGTCTCTCTCTCTGTCTTCTCTCTCTCTGTCTCCTCTCTCTCTGTCTCTCTCTCTCTCTCTCTCTCTCTCTCTCTGTCTCTCTCTCTCTCTCTCTCTCGTCTCTCTCTCTCTGTCTTCTTCCTCTCTTTCCTCCTCTGTCTCTCTCTCTCTCTGTCTCTCTCTCCCTCCCTCTCTTCTCTCTCTCTGTCTCTCTCTCTCTGTCTCTCTCTCTCTCTGTCTCTCTCTCTCGTCTCTCTCTCTCTCTGCTCTCTCTCTCTCTCTGTCTCTCTCTCTCTCTCTCTCTGTCTCTCTCTCTCTGTCTCTCTCTCTCTCTCTCTGTCTCTCTCTCTCTCTGTCTCTCTCTCCCTCCTCTCTCTCTCTCTCTCTCTCTGTCTCTCTCTTTCGTCTCTCTCTGTCTCTCTCTCTCTCTCTCTCTGTCTCTCTCTCCTGTCTCTCTCTCTGTCTCTCTCTCTGTCTCTCTCTCTCTCTCTGTCTCTCTGTCTCTCTCTCTCTGTCTCTCTCTCTCTCTCTGTCCTCTCTCCCTGTCTCTCTCTCTCTGTCTCTCTCTCTGTCTCTCTCTCTCTCTGTCTCTCTCTCTCTCTGTCTCTCTCTCTCTCTCTGTCTCTCTCTCTCTGTCTCTCTCTCTCTGTCTCTCTCTCTCTCTCTCTCCCCCTCTCTCTTCTCTCTCTCTCTCTCTCCCTCCCTCTCTCTCTCTCTCTGTCTCTCTCTCTCTCTCCTCTCTCTCTCTCTCTCTGTCTCTCTCTCTCTCTGTCTCTCTCTCTCTGTCTCTCTCTCCCTCCCTCTCTCTCTCTCTTCTCTGTCTCTCTCTCTCTGCTCTCTCTCTCTCTGTCTCTCTCTCCCTCCCTCTCTCTCTCTCTCTCTCTCTGGGTGTAACCATTGTTGGGTTTAAAGTGGCTGCTTGCATCTTTTTGACTCGTTGTCATGACGATGGTCTTTCCTGCTCTACCTGAATGAGACCATCAGGTTGTGTTGAGTCTGACTCCAGATTACAGCGTACAAACACAAACCCTAACCAGCTCGATCTGTCAGCGCTCGCCCTCACAGCTCCGTGGTCATTAGCTCCTTTCTCTCCGCTGTGAGGACATCCTGGCAGAGCGGATGAATACTGGTCTGAGCTGTTTCAATGGAGAGTTGTGTGTCACTCATAGGGAGAGTCTTTGTGAGGAGATGAGCCACAAAGACTCCTGTTCACTATTAATGTGGAATCTGTGTAAATGTCTCTGTGGGGTTTCCACCCCATGAACTCTGAAACTCTCTCCTCCTTCACAGATGTTACTGTGAGATATGTGGAGGTTTTACCTGCTGGTGCTCATCAGGCTGTGATCAGCTGACCTGCAACACAACGAGCTGAAACTATGACTGAAGGGTCTTACAGAGTTTTTGCATATTTTGGAGTCTAAATGACCAGGAGGTGTCCCTGCCAGGCTCCAGTTGTTATTCTGAGGGAGTTTTCACGTTCCTGCTAAAATATATATATATATAAAATACATATCTACGATTCCTCAGAAAACATGGTTAACCGCTCGGTTGAGTTGCCGGTCTACGCAAACGGCCTGGCTCAAGTCACTCATTTCTTATTTTTTTCTCCTTTTCTAACCATTGCTACTCATTCAGTTTGTTAAATAAATTATAGATTATTTTTTAAGTTCTACTCTCTGTAAACCCTCAACAGGCAACCAGCTGGTTGACCTGCATATCTGCTTCCTGATTGGGTAATCTAAAAAATATAACCTGAAATGTTGCTTAATGAAGTGACGGTCCACTTCCTCGTTTGAGCCTGTTTGTGTTCACATCTCCAGCGGACCTTACTCGAGCTCATGAATCGTACCACGATCAGTACGTTTGTGTCCACACTGATCACGAGCCGGACTTTGGGGTCAAGCGTACTCGGATCCGGGGCCCCGGGTCCCTGATGTGAAATCAACCTAAGCTTTATTTCCTACATGTTTAATTGATGATTTAAGCGGCTTCACTGTAAACGTACTGTACCTTTAAATGTCGTTTCATTTCTTTTTAAACTTCTTATTATCATCTCTAAAAAGTCTGAGGGTGCGGGGATCTCAAAACCGGTAATGATCCTTCCGCCGGTTTTGAGATCCCCGCACCCGAGGCCGCGTGGCCCCTCGGTGCTGGCGGCGGATATGTCAGAAAAACACATTTTGTTCTTTTCTTTAAATTTAGATCAATAAATGAGGATAATAAAACAATGTGACACCTCTGAGGTGAAACATCGTCACAAACAGGAAGTGAGAAATCACTGGATCTGGATCTAGTCTCACAAGTTTGTAGACTCAGCACACACAGACTCTTAGTTGGACTCGTTAGCGGGGTGCGTTTGTTTTACTCACCAGCGACGCTGAGGCTGACGGTGTCCTGCATGTCCTCCATCCCGTGCATCACCTCGCAGCGGTACAGCCCGGCGTCGCTCGCCCGCAGACGCACCATGATGAGGGAGGCGTCTCCCACCGACAGCGGGTGGCTCGGCACCGACACCCGGCTCTGGAACTCCTTCCCCACCTTCACCACGCCGCCCTGCGCCACCAGCACCACCTTCTCCCCCCCCGCCTCCTCCAGCTTCATCCACTTGATCCTCACCTCGTCCTTGGGGTTGGACGTGGAGCGAGGAGGAGCGGTGGTGGGAGGCAGCGTGGCGTGCGAGGGAGCGCGTGTAGAGTCGAGCGTGATGGGGAAGTGGCACGGCAGCACCACCCGCCCCGCCAGAGAGCCGGACGCAGGAGAGTTCTTCTGCAGCCCGGGGGAGCCAGGAGGAGCTGGAAAACAGGTTCCTGCATGTCAGACACCAAGCAGCCGCTTTAGGAGCTCATGAGGTTTTATTTCTTATTATTATTATATATTATATTATTATTATTATTGATTTCATCATCACATGAAAGAGTTTTGATTTCTTTAAAGGTCTTCAGAGCAGGGATCGGATTTTTAACTTCTACTGTGTGTGAAGTTATTAATCATACACATTCACACACCGCCACTGAAGAAGCAGAGGGAGCAACGTGGGGTTCAGAGTCTAGTGTACATAATGATAATAATAATAATAATAATAATAATTATAATTAAAATAACAATAATAATAATAATAAATAAAAGAATAATAAATAAAAGAATAATAATAATAAATAAAGTAATAATAATAATAATAATAATAATAAATAAAGTAATAATAATAATAATAATAATAAATAAAAGAATAATAAATAAAAGAATAATAATAATAAATAAAGTAATAATAATAATAATAATAATAATAAATAAAGTAATAATAATAATAATAATAATAATAAATAAATAAAATATTAATAATAATAATAAAAGCCTCTTAAGCATTTCCTCCTCGTTGTTACGTTTGTCATGTTTCTGGTCCCCCCCTGTTTGTTCTGATTGACTCATTGGCGTCCCCCTCCTCTAATGAATATAAAAAAACAAACATATCTTTAACACACTGTAAAAAAACCCCACAGAAAACAGAAGGGGCGGCAGTAGCTCAGAGTGTGTGTGTGGGGGGGGGGGATCCTCCGTTCAAGTCCTGGAGGGAACAAGTCTGGAAGTTGGAGAGTGCCAGTTCACTTCCTGAACACTGCTGAGGTGGAACCGAACCCCAAGTGCTCGGGCGCTCGTTTGTGTGCAGCAACCCCCCCCCCATTACTTTAAGTTTTTGTGACTTTTCAACCTTTCACCAGGTTTGCAATGAACTCTGGGTAAGTCAGCACATACACAGACTCCAGGAAAGTGTCGTTAGCATTGAGAAGAAGGTTTCAAAGTGAGAGAAACAAACACACTTATCAGGGACGAGTGAGGAGTTTGAGATTAAGCCAATAAGAGAGAGAGGGCAAGAGGACGAGCGATGACATCACTTCCTGCTGGAGGGACTCACCTGATGGAGGCCGAGCTGAACACACACACAGCAGGCAGAGCAGGTGTGTGAGGACGTGTGGAATCATGTCGACTCAATCTGTAGAAAAAAAAAAGAGAGAGAGAGCGAACGAATTGGTTGAATAAAGTTTAACAGGATTAAAACTTTATTTATATTAACAGTTAATAATGGATCTTTGCTTCTTGGTGATTTTAACGTAATGAAGAAGCCTCTTCTAGGTTTGCTTCTCATTCACAATCTGTGAATCTCACTCCACATGTAACGGCTCGTTCAGCCACCAGAGGGCGCACGCTCCTCCTTGTTTCTAACGTTTTTCTTAAATGTTGAATCTGTTGTTTCCGAGGAGATCAAACCTTTTCATTTAATCTGTGGTTGTGAAATACAATCTTATATCGTGAAAGGAAGAATGAGCGACTTTTTGATCAGCAGATGTCGCCCATGAGCTCCAGAATTAAACCAAAACAAACTTCTGTTAGGCCACGCCTCCTCCATACTGAAGCCTCCGCCCTCCTCCAGAGACACACCTCCAACCCCCCCTCCCTCCTCGCGTTCACACGGACGAGTTATTCATTAGAACGCACCGTGATTAAAACTGTCCTCTCTCGAGCTGCTATCACCTGCATTGTGTGTACCTGTGCTCTAGTTAGCTTAGCTGTTGTTGTTAGCATGCTAATGTAGGCGCTCTTTAGTTAGCTCGTAGCTTCACATTGTTGTGTTAGCATGCTAATGTAGGCGCTCTTTAGTTAGCTCGTAGCTTCACATTGTTGTGTTGGCATGCTAATGTAGGCGCTCTTTAGTTAGCTCGTAGCTTCACATTGTTGTGTTGCATGCTAATGTAGGCGCTCTTTAGTTAGCTCGTAGCTTCACATTGTTGTGTTGGCATGCTAATGTAGGCGCTCTTTAGTTAGCTCGTAGCTTCACTTGTTGTGTTAGCATGCTAATGTAGGCGCTCTTTAGTTAGCTCGTAGCTTCACATTGTTGTGTTAGCATGCTAATGTAGGCGCTCTTTTAGTTAGCTCGTAGCTTCACATTGTTGTGTTAGCATGCTAATGTAGGCGCTCTTTAGTTAGCTCGTAGCTTCACATTGTTGTGTTGGCATGCTAATGTAGGCGCTCTTTAGTTAGCTCGTAGCTTCACATTGTTGTGTTGGCATGCTAATGTAGGCGCTCTTTAGTTAGCTCGTAGCTTCACATTGTTGTGTTGGCATGCTAATGAGCGCTCTTTAGTTAGCTCGTAGCTTCACATTGTTGTGTTAGCATGCTAATGTAGCGCTCTTTAGTTAGCTCGTAGCTTCACATTGTTGTGTTAGCATGCTAATGTTAGCGCTCTTTAGTTAGGCTCGTAGCTTCACATTGTTGTGTTAGCATGCTAATTTAGCGCTCTTTAG